GGAGGCAAAATGAGCAAGAACGCTCATTTGTACATCATTCTAGCCAGAAATAAATGGCCTTTTTAGAAAGTGAACCATGGATGGGGAAACGTTGCCAGTTTTCTCAAAAAAAGCTTGAATTCAAGAAGTTTTATATCAATTCCATTTCCTTGGTGATTTCAGAGTTTGAGCGCACTCATTACCCGGACGTCTTTGCCAGAGAGCGACTGGCCGCGAAAATCGGCCTCCCGGAGGCCCGAATACAGGTGTGGTTCTCCAATCGGAGGGCGAAATGGCGCAGAGAGGAGAAGTTGAGGAACCAGCGCAGAACCAACCAAACTCCTGTGGACGCATCCGGCCCTAACGCATCCCCCCCAAGAATACAGGGCTTTGCCAACGGGAGTCCTGCTATGTACTCGTCTATTGCGCCTCCAATGTCCATAGCGGATACCTACGGGTAGGAACCACCCGGGTAGCGATTGAATTCGAAGTAAAATCGGCAAATTTTCCAGTTCCATGTCGCCGATGTCGAATTTCGCTCACGGCGGATTAACAACCAGCATGGTTCCATCGCCTGGCGCCTGTTTGCAGCAACGGGAAAGTCCAGGAATGGGCGGTGGGATGGGTGGCTACTGCATGGGAAGACCGTCGGGATACGATCTGGGGATCGGCTACGGTTCCAGACCGTCTCCATGCAGTCCTGGGCAGCCTTACCAGATGAACGGCCATCAGTATAACACCAATGGAAGTTCAACAGGTAATTGTTATTAGTCAAGGTAGTGCCTGCAGAAATTACTAATAATTCTTAGAAAACTTCGTTGCTTTACCGGCATTTTTGGCACTTCAACCCACTGTGCTTAATCGGAAATTGCGCGCAGAGAATGAACTAGAAAGAGACGCACGAACACAGACAGTGGTTGCAGCCGCCAAACTTGCGGGCCAAACGTCCATAATTCCTCCACTTGATTGTTTCTTTTTGGCGATTTTAGGTTTGATATCCCCAGGAGTTTCAGTGCCAATCGCAGTGCCAGGGCAAGCTGATATGACTTCCCAGTATTGGCCCCGCATACAGTGACCATGGTGGAACTAATGTGCGTTAAAAGTTTAGTTTTGCGAATTTAACGTGTGACTCTAGTTATTATTGTGAAACTGATAAGTTTATTATAAGGCAGCGTGCACAAAGTGCTTATATTTGTAACATAACGTTTGCGGCGGTTTTCTCGTATTGAAAGCATCCAGGGAGGATTTTTTTCCGAAAGGGCCCACTAGTTTGTATAGCCGGAGTTATATGGGACAGTGCAAATAGCGAAGCTTTCAGTATGCGCAAAATGGCCCAGATGGATTTCTGATGTTGCTCTTCAACAGTGATTGAATATTAGGATTTAAATGTTGTGCGTGCTTTCGTTTGTACCAAAGGGAATGATTTCCAAGCGGACTGAAATGGGGCAAGTTATATTAGCGATTTAGTTAAAATAMATTTTTAATGCGCCAGTGCTTTGTGTTTTTTGTCGTCGTTGGGCAGCAGTAGTTTTTGCAAATTTTGCAATCGTTAATATTCAGRSRAATTTTCACTATGTCAGCAAARGAAGTGTGGTTTTCCATTRCAAAACATGTACATGGCAAAGCTCTTTYAGTATACYAAAAAAACATGCTGTGGATGCGAAAACTACGCAATTKRAACCTAAAGAGAACAATCTTCTTGATTCTGCTCGYGTGAAATGAAATTATCAAATGAGGAGSTTCAAATATATCAAGCAAATTAAATAATGAAAAATGGAAAAAACCCAAAAGCAAAAGCGAAATGTTCTTAATTCTTCTTGACAATTATTTTCATTAACCTTTACCCAAAAACCACTGCTGCTCCTCAGCTTTAAAAAGTTGAATCCACTCGAGTTTAAGCTGCAAATCACCCGAATATCAATTTGAATGCGTTGAGCGTATTATTTGAAGTGTTAAGTAAATATTTAATGTTAAGTAGTCAACGTTTGTTGTTAGTTTATCACTTGTACATTGATGCCTCTTCTGTGATTATTTCCTTTATGTACATAGCGAGATACTTTGTAAATTGGGTAATTCTATTGTACATACATATCCAAACTTCCGTTACAAGAGTGAATGCATGCGAATAACTACTCATCAACATGTGTAATATAATTTATAATTTTGCAAAAGTTTGTGTGTAAATAAAATATAATTGGACAGTAACAGATTTCGTTTTTTTTGGTATTGCCAAAAATTAGCCTCTTTAGAAGCTGATGGCGTCGTACATCACTTTTCCTTTGCTCACTTGCAAGGTGATCGTATTGGTGCCGTTAACAACCTGAGCGTTGGTGACAGTGAAGACATTCGAATGGAACGTGCCGCTCTGCATGGCGCTCCTGTAGACCGCTTGATCGTTACCGTAGTAAACATCCCCAACCTTGTGGCTGTTAACACTAACAATCAAGTGAGGACTTTGGCTGGCGGCAGCCAAAGCGACCCGAAGAGTCCTGGTGTTTCCATCTTTAGCATCATCGTACTCGATTGTCCAGATTCCTGCTTGGGATTGAGCGTAATACCTGGAAGAAACGGTGTTTGATTGAACTCTCTTCACTGTTCAAGTGTTTCAAAGAGGGCAAATTGGGATTAGTGTTTGGTTGCTGACACAAAAGAGGTACAAACCAAAACACTACCCAGTGTTCACACAAGTTTGTTCCTTTCTTGTCGGCAAACACCAATTTTTTGGGGGCTACTTACCAATCGTCAGCATCAGTGCTGGTTCCAATGGTGAAGGTAAGCGTCTCTGGGGGCAAAGTTTCGTAAAGATAATTCCGCAGCTCCGTACTGTACTTGAATTCGCTGGACCTTCGGTTGGTTTCGCCAATGTTCCAGATGATGTCGTCGGGTTCCGGTAGGTCCAGGCTACTGACTGTCACGGTTTCACCTGTGGGCAGGTTTCTTCCCATTAAAGTGGTAAGTTTCCAGGGATTTTGAGCCCCAAAAACATGTCGTAACGGAAATGGCCTGGGGTAGTCACGTTTGGAATGGGGGGGATCGAAATTGCTGGTATTTCAGTAAATGGGAGCCCTATTTGGGCCCCATTTACTGTCAAATATGACACTGACAACGAGAACCATCTGGG